TTTTTTTTTTTTTTTTTTTTTTTTTTTTTTTTTTTTTTTTTTTTTTTTTTTTTTTTTTTTTTTTTGTAAGTTCATTGCTGAAAAGCCCCTTTTAACCGCAGCAGTACTCCCAGACAAAGAAAACATCAATTCCACCATGCGCAGTATGCTGCTGTATTTCTAGATTAGAGGGTCGTTTTAGAAGTGAGGCGCTAGACTCTTGTAAGATAACAAAAATTGAAAATGTATCACGAACATTAAAGGGAAAATGGACGTCCGCGCGGACGTCGGATTCGAAAAATTCGTTGTCCGCCGGGAATTTTTGACCGCCCAGGACGGGTGGTTTTTCGAGCCCTGGTGCAGACGATATTTTAAGTTACGGAATCAGACACGAAAACGCACTTTCTCTGAATAAACATACCTTTTTTTCACGGATTCGGATTTCTGACTCCAAAAATATAGGCGATAGCCGCAATGTGAGGAATATGTTCCCCTTAATTCGGTCAGCGGAGCAATCCAAAATTTGGACCTTCTAATGTAAATTTTATTTTTTGCGTATTTCGCCATATCTCGAGAACTTTAAAAGCGAATTGAAAAATCATTGCGCACAATTATAAAATTTGTATATCTAACGGTATATCCATGCAAAAAATAAATTTTAATAAATATTTACTATTTTTAATTATTTTATTTTGTAACAGTCGTAAAACGTTCAAATTGTAAAATACGTAAATTTTTACGTAATTTTAAAATATGTAATTTTACATAGCAAAATACAAAATTTGAGCGAAATCGGTTAAATAGTTCCTGCAAAATCAAGCTTTAAATATAAATTTTTTTTTTTAAATTGCATTTCTCAGGAACTATTCAACCAATTTCACTCAAATTTTGTATTCTGCCATGCAAAATTACATATTTTAAAATTTACGCAAAAAATTTTAAATTTTTTAATTAAGTTTTTTTCGACCGTTGCTAAGTAAAATAAAAAATTATAAATATTTACTAAAATTTATATTTTGCATGGATTTACGATTGGATAAACGAATTTTAAAATTGTGTGCAATTCGTTTAAAAAGTTCTCAAGATATGACGAAATACGCAAAAAATAAAATTAACATCAGGAAGTACAAACTTCGGATTGTTTTCTTGACTAAACTATGAGAACCCTATTTCCCGATTGCGACTCATATTTTGGGGGTTATTAATCCGAATCCGTCCAGAAAAAGGTATGTTTATTCGGATTAAATACGTTTTCGTGTCTGATTTCGTAACTTCAAATATCGTCTGCACCAATTAATTAGCATATTTGGGGTAGCCCTTTCAAACCATTTAGTCCTAGAACGGGAAGATCCGAGCATTGGACCAAAAATTATTCTACGAAAAACATTACGAACCAGCAAATACTACGGACAAATATTATAAAAATCTTTCTTTATAAAAGAATTAAGATAAAATAAATAGACAAGCAAAAATTTTGTGAGTCTCCACAAATATACCTAAAGATTGAGCGAAACTCCAATTCATTAAAATGTCACACTTCTTCCACGAACCTCTTTAACTTTGCGAACCGAGCATGGTTTGCGAAACAAATGTCACATTATTTAGCGAGTGAAATCTAATATTAAAAAGTGTAACTTTTGGGCATTTCTTAAAGAGACGGAATATTTTTTTGCAATGTCTTGTAGATACGGTTCTCACGGGCCTTTAAAAACTTTAATAGTGGTAGTCAATTTACGCTAAAGCTGATAAGAATTTATCAATTGGACTTTTATCAATACATGTTTTCTTTAAATTTATATTTTAAAACCGTCGTTGAGCAGTCGCCCCAATATTGAGTTTACAATGGCCAGTGCTCAACTCCGTAGCCTTGTCATTTTGAACCCAATCTAGAAGACAGGGAAACTCCTGGATCAAGTATTGCGAGAAATTTGCCTTCGGGGTGAATTTTTTGAACGAACTATGCCGCATTTGAGTTATATGGAGCGAAAAACCCAGAAACCTTCCCAAGCATATGACTAGTCTACCACTCAGGATATTTTACGTCAGCTCTGTGGTCGGTGCGAGCAGGGTGCGGAATTCGTATTAACCAGCCATCGCTGTAATTCGAACTCAGTTCATCTCCTGTAGAGATAGCCACTCTGTCTCCTGAGCCACCACTGTTCACTTATATTTTATTTTATAACCATCTTTTAACAGCCGACCCAATTTTGGGTCTACGACTACCAATGTTCAACTGCGTAGATTTGTAATTTTGAACACAATCTATAAGACAGAGGAACTCCTGGATCTATTTTGAGTTTATGATTATAGTTCGTTCACCAGGAGTTGGCACTTGGCTCCGTCTTCATCTCATGGTGTCCGACGATACTATTTCGCTATTTTTGGGAGAAGGAAGTGAACAATTCTGAACAAGGTCGCTATTTGGTGATCGTATGACAAAAATATTTATTTCGCAATCTTTATGTGCATCGTGTTAAAAATAAATATGTCATAAATTTGATGATATTTCTCTCTTATGAGTGAATAATTCGTTCTTTTTGAGACATTTTGCCGGGATAATAGCAGTTTTTAACTTTAAAATATATTTAATTAGCGAGAGTAACGAAAGGAATAATAGCAGATGATTAAGCGAAGTAAGTGACGGCAAAAGAATTTACTGTTTGCCTTTGGCGCTCATAAGGATTGTCTCATTTACAAGCTCGGAGATGTTTCTCCTCTTACTCCCGCTCTGAAATGAACTCAGCGTCCGAGTAGGTGGAGCCAAGTGCCAACTCCTGGTGAACGAACTATACCAATGTTCAACTCCTTAGCCTTGACATTTTGAACCCAATCCAGATGACAGGGGAACTCCTGGATCAAGTAGTGGGAGAAATTTGCCTTCGAGGAGGACTTTTTGTTGGAATTAGCACATATTTGCGTTACATAGTGACGAAAACCATGAAACTCTCCCGTGGTTAATCTGATGGCCAGGGGACTCTAACCTTTGATCCGTCTGGTACTGTGGATATTTTACGTCAGCACTGTAGTCCGTGTGAGCCGGGTGAAAAGTTCGTATCAACCAGTCATCGCTAGAATTCGAACCCGGCTCACCTCATTGGTGGGTGAGCATTCGATCGCTTGAGCCACCACGGCTCGCATATATTTTATTTAAAAAAAATAACACATAGTGGTGGTCACATATGTGCAAAATGATTATAGCTTGTATTTTTATTTTTGCCACTTTTAAGGCTGGTAAGAGATCTTATAACTATATTCAATATTGTTATTTGCAGGCTTATTATTGCAATTGTATTTACTACTTCCGTTCAGCAGTATGAAATGAGAGATACTTGCAGTAGTTGGAGACTCAAAATTCATCGTGAGGAAGAACTATGTGAGTTTTGACCCTTTTATTTCCTGAACAATAATTCACTAACATTAAAGTTTTGATTNATATATAATGTAATGTAATGTTTTTCGAAGATTAGAGTTAATAATAAAATAATTCGTGTTATGCGTTAATTAAAAAAAAAGTGTCTCTTAATTGTTATTTCCCACGATTTTGGTGGAAGATGTTCTTCAAAAGGATAGTACACTTTGTGTTTTAATATTTCCTTCTTGTTTAACTAAACATGTTTTGCAATCATTTTGCACCATTAAATTTAAACAAATATATATTATTTCCTCTTCGCAAAATGGAATTTTTTTAAGTGTCGCAAAATTTAAACAACTTAAGCTTACTTTATTTGTTTTTTCGCTGCTATTTTATATAATTGTTGTTGTCTCAAGCCATGAAGCGAAGGGGTGCGATTGTTCTTATCTTCCAGAGGCTCCACCTATGGCCAAGAATTTGACTTCTGCCACACCCATACGTCCCACCCATTTAAAGGACAAACCTATTCATACATCTGTTCATTTATCCACAGACCGCCATTTACTTCACAGGGAGTCTTTGGATGGTTGGATTCGAACTCCCGTCCTCCCGAACGTGCGTCCAATGCCCTGCCAACCAGGCTTTCGGGGCCTCATTTTACATAGTGCGGGTAGCTCATACTTCCAGGTCGGCATCCGTAATTGAGGCCTCACTATTTTGTAAATGTTTCAGGTGGCCAATCATTATCAACTAGAAAAACAGAAAGTAGTGGCGAATATTTCATGAAGTTGTTGACCTTTTAAAAATTTTGATTTTACTCTTAGTTTATATTAAGAAATTTGTGGGGCAGTTTAAATACATATATTTAATTTATGAATTATTTTTGGTCTGCAGAATTAAGTTAAAACATTTTATTTATTTATTTAAAAACTTTTTCTACAACTTTTTAAAAACCGTGGTCACCCTGCAAACATTTGTTAACGCCATTCTAGTATTGTAGTATGGGTACATAGGTTTCTTACGATCCCTTGAAATGAAATAATACCATTTATTTTATCAACATTCATACACGGGTATTCCCCAATACTATATCCCTCTCATTGCAAAACAACTGCTATGAAAGCAGTTCCGGGGTTTGGCGAACTCAGCTAGGCGGCCTAGTCAATAAGAATTTTTAAATGAAAAATTCTGAATGCTTTAAAACTATAAATATAGCCTAACATAATCCTTATCAATACAAATCAAATGTTATTTTAAAACTATGTTATAGATTATGAGATAGCATTTACGCTGAAATTTTAATGTAAATTTTATAATTTATTTCAGCCGGTCCAGTTCGATACACGAGTTCATTTCTTACCAATATTGCGGCTACAGTATCAACAGAAATGAGGAATTACACTAACTTACAACTTCGATTAGAGAGTATAGCGGAAAGCTACAATCTGTGAGTATAACACACTCTCATCGAATCAAAAAAAGAAAGAAAAAAAAATTCAAAAAAATAAGGCAATAAAATATCTCTCAAATGCAACTGCAGAGAAAAATGTCATCGATACTGACGTGCCATTAAAAATACAACGTAAATGAGAAGAAAAAAAAGCCATATTGTATTTCATATGCATCTTTGTATGAACAGCTACATATGGCAAAAAATATTTTTTGAGAAAGCTATTTTTTAGCAGTTTTTTGAAATTCCGTTTCAACGTAACTCCGTCTAAATCTTTAATTCGCAGACAGAAAATGCCGTAACTCCATATTACAATTTTAAAAAAAACTATGTAATGTAGTCTATCTATACAAGGTGACCTTTTGGATCTGTAGAAAAATGGATGATTCATGTATTGTAAGTAACTGACCGATAGGAAAGAATAACACTTGTAGTAACGTTGTTGTTTTTCATCGCTCGCTTCACTTCATTAACATGTAGCGATAATTGAGCACATGCTGATTTAAAAATTTTAGGTTTTACTTAGAAATATATATTTTTTTAAATGTATTGCAAATTAGATAATTTCATACTATCAGAGAATTTTGTGAAAAATTTCTCAAGATTACAGAGCATCTTTTTCGACTATGGGTTCCGTCGAAAAACGTACGTTTTTTCATATAAATGTCGCTAATATGTTAATTAATAATCTCCGGCTAATCTTAATAATAAACAAGTTTTTTGGCAAATTACGTGCTCTTTGTTCGCCAAGCTTGCAACTATGCAAATTAATCACATTATGTGGTTATTATTAATAGTTGCTAATGAAGTTTGGTGCGAATAATTAATTAGGCATATATACGAGGGCTATTTTTTTAATAAGGGCCTTTAGAAAATAAAAATAAATTTTTTTTTAAAGAAGTTCATGAAGCAAATTTATTCTTTGATTCTACATACGCTTCTCTCTCTCTCTCTCTCTCTCTTTTAAAATAGTTATCAAGTGTGCTTAAACACTTATTATACCTTACAACTGAATTTAGAATACCCTCTTCATGATAACTTGCCGCCTACTTCGATAACCAAGAGGTCACGACCGTTTTCACGTCTTCGTCGTACTGGTTGTAACCAAAATGATGTTTAAAACATCGAAAAATATGAAAATCACTTAGCGCAAGGTCTTGGCTGCATGGAGGGGTGGTACAAAACTTCCCAGCCAAAAGAGTCCTGTAAAACTCGATACTAATCTGTGGAGACAGTCATTGTCATGGAGTAGCACAATTTTTAGTCAGTAAACTTCACACATCTGCCGGTGAATGCAGGTTTTTTTTCGACTAAAAACCCATCATTGACACTACCTTATACGGGCCGTGAGATTTGTTAAAGTTAAACATTTTTAAGACACAGAACTAACCGTATAGGTTACCTATACAGCTATAACTGACCACAGTTGTTCCCAAGGAATGCCAGGACGCGACGCAAGCACTCGTTGCAACGCTCGCGTTACCTATTAGTGTGCACAACAAAACAGCCCTGGTATACATATTGCCTAATTAATTATATTTATTGAAACTTCGTATCAAACGTAATATTTTATTTAAACTTCAACTCAAATATAATTTTTATATCTTTGTGCTGAGATAAAAAATCTGTCTCGTAGAGTTAAAAAAAAAAGGGACGATTACGGATTTTTACCAAAGTTTAAATTTAAAATAAGAGCTTTAAAAATTCAATCCTATGATCATATCTATTGCAGAGGAATCATTTTTGAAATCTTGAGTTCATAAATTTTAATATCTTCAAAAAAGGTGAATGAATATATCAGCGTATAGAAAGTGGCTATTATTAACAATCAGATAAAGTGCTCATTATATCCCTGCCCTGCCATGTTTTTTTAAAGTTAAGGGCCCCTCCCCGATATAAGTATCCTATACTGATGCGCTATTTTTAGATTAAGTGCTTTAAAAAACAAAAAAGTAAAAATAATCGGAAAGAATTGAAAGCATTCATTTAACAGCATACATAAAGGGCGTACTGCATCTAAAGTAAGCAAGAAACTGATATTTCTGGTTGCACGGGAAATGACGTTGCGTATTAGAGATTCTAGCCAAATGCGTTTAAAATTATTACACTAACCAAATTTCATAGATAATTAATAAAAATAACCAATAAATGTGATAGATCATTCACTTTAATCGCCTTTATCATACTTAATTAAAATTTTGATGTATCAAAGAGGGATTAAAATTTTCGATGAATTCTTTCTAAGGCAACTGATGACTTCTTAAAATCGTCTTTATCAAAGAAGTTTCCCATCTTTCACGAGACACAAAAAAAAGAGAGACATCTTAGGAAATTTAGATTTAAATCCAAAGATTTAATGGATCACTGATCAATTACTTAGACCAGTAATCAGTGACTTTGATCAGTAAACTTGCTTGATCACTGATGAAGTAACTTTATGTAAATATATGTAACATTATAATTGAATGAAATTTCTTTAACCATAACTCCGTTTTACCTTTTCATGTATTTATTTTTGATAACTTCCGGATACATATCTTGAAAATGTAATTTAAAAAAAAGCAAAGGGAATAATCAAAATGGAAATAAATACGAGAAACGTTTTGAAAAAAAAATCTTATAAATAAAGAAATGGAAAAAAAAATATATCACGTCGTTGCAACAACCTGCAGCTCACACGCAACTTATAAAGAGGTGAAGTATGTGTGAGTTACGTTGATTTTTAATTTGCATTACTGCACAGAGGTATAATCGGTAGGTGAAAATCATCGAAACTCCTAATTTGTTAAAACTATTTTTGCATAACAGATTAGCAATTATTTTCTTCACAATATTATTAATCAAGGCAGGTGCATAAAAAGTTTGAAATATTTTGTATGATAGTGTTGAAATAGCAAGAAAACTAGATAAAATCTTGAAATCTTTCTTAAAGCACTTACGTTGTTTTTTCAACTGCACGGCATCAACTAATGGATTATAAAAGTTTATTTTTTAATCATATACAAAATGTTTGAGCTTTATATAGAACATTCCGTAATGACCACCCTTTAATATTTTTAATACATATTTTTAGAATCCTTTTCTTATTTTCATGTTCATGTGAAAATCAAAACATAAAAATCATAAACATTAGGAGGTACAAATTAATATTTAGAAGAGGAAAAGTCTATGAAAACATAACTAATCATTACAGAAAAGAATGAGACTGAAATTCATCTTTCTTCATTAAATGATTTTAAACGTTTAGATAATGTTTTTGTTTATCAATCTTGTAATTGATTATTTGAGACATCCAATGATAAAGGTTTTTAATTTCATTATTTTTGTTAGGATTAAAAAAGTATATAGTAAGGACGGTTTTCACGGAACATCTTTTATGAATAGAAATTTTCAAGAAGTCTCTTTTTTAATATCATGCTGTAAACGGATTTTTAGTAAGAAAATTTTTCATTACAAATTAACCTAGTTTATCTCGCTAAACTACTTCATTTGCGAAATTTATTTATTTTGTATTTTTTTTTCTTTTTTTGAACACATTCATAAAATGATATACTGTCTAAAACTACAATTCATTTTACACTCAAAAATATTTAAAATCAGAGAAATATTTATCAAAATAAAAGAGAATAATTTAAACAAAATTTGGAATAATTTTATCGAATTAATTATTTGTATGCTTTTGCATTATCTTCAACCTCCAGTTCACATTTCAGTTGCTACCATTAGTAGAATTGCTTTGAGTATTCATATGCATAAAGTTTCCTTTCAAATGTAGCCTTGGTATATTCAATGGATTAGAACTAATGTCCAACTTATATTCATTTAAACGTTTTCAAATCCCTTATATTGAATGTCCAGTGCCAGTTTACTTGATTTATGAAATATTTAACATTAATCATGACCTATTTCATTCATGCAATTATTAAATATTTATCTATTTTTTAAAAAAAATCTAGCACCAATTCACATTTATTGCTGTGTTTACTTTTTTACAAAACAAGTAAAAAAGTAAGAGTTCATTTTATTAACTTTAGGATCTAATGTTCAATTAAACCGATAATATTGCTCAATGCAATATTATCGGTTTAATTGATCTGTTTATGCCTTTCATTTTAAAATTGGTCCCATTTATGACATTTTCCTTTACAGGTACAATGGTTCAGATGACGAAACAAACAGAACACTACAAAATCTTCAACGAGATCCAGAAGTTCAGGAAATAGTGAGGGAATGTGAAAAATCTCATGTTGCGCATACATGTAGCAGTAGCACTCTGTACAGAAGAGCTGATGGCATTTGTAATAATCTAAAACATCCAATGTGGGGCAGCGGTGATTATAAGAATGACCGGATGATGCCCCCTGCTTATAATGGTAAAAATTTTCACCAATAATACAAACTGTTAAAAGTTTTCACCAATATAACAAACTGTTAAAAGTTTTTACCAATATAACAAACTATTAAAAGTTTTCGCCAGTTTAAAGAGTGTTAAAAGTTTTCACCGATTTAAAAAGTGTTAAAGTTTTCACCGATATAACAGACTGTTAAAAGTTTCTCTAATATAATAAAACTGTTCCAAAAAGGATCGACACTATCAAAAATCATTTTAACTCAGTAACATCATTTCACGAGGGACGCTGGTCTTGCATTTATTTCGAATTAATGAAAAGTGGTGGCAAAAGTATGTTGCTGTCAGTCTATTTCAGAAAGAAATAATGCATTGATAACTACCAAAAAAAATCATCTCTTATCACAAGCTCAGAACTAGTTTTTAATTTTACAGTTTCTTCTTTGTCTCGTATTTAAGCAAAACGGATTTCAATGAGAAAATAGGAGATGAGAAACAATTTGCTGCTTACTGCTCAGGAAATCAAAGAATGAATTCTCATTTAATTAAAATACTTGTCAACAGATGGCTGTAAAAATCGATAACAATATTTTCTTGCTGCGTGTCAAACCATTTCAAATGAAATATTTACATAGTTAATCATACATATTTACACAGTTATTACCTGTTAAATTTTAGTAGTTTTTCTAATCAGCAGCGCCACCTGTTGATGAACGTTGCAACTAATTGTGGAACCCGGTGAGAAAACCTGATTTTTTTAAATCAAAACACAGCAAACTGTACATTTCTATACTTAGTGAATCAATAATAGATCAAATCAGCGAATCAACGAACCAATGAATCAGTAAATGAGAGAATAGATAGGTGTCTATTTTAGGTAGGTTTTTCATAAAGGAGTTGTTGCTTTTTAACATTAAATAAAAGTACTTTAATGTACAATTAAAAAATCATCGGAACCGCAAATAATTAAATCAGTGAATGAGCAAATCAATGAAAAACGAATCATTGATTCTTCGAACTTCTTATTCTCTTCTTTACTACTTTGCTGCAACATTAACTCATTGACTTGTACAGTTGTTGATTTATTGATTCGCTGATTTATTGATTTACCTCACTCCTTGCAGATAGGATGATTGATACACCTATATTCGTTGTCTGAGTGTTTGATTCACTTTTTTATCTTTATTTAACGAATCGTTGATTCATTAGATCAGCGATTCATGATTCACTAAAATGTCTGAAAGTCAAAATCAATTTCTTGTCATTTAAAGTGATAACCAGCAGCCAGTACAAAGAGTGCGGGATCAAGAATTGATTTCAGCTATTTCTTCATTGCAGGTATAAGTGGATTTCGCAAATCTGTGACTGGAGAGGATCTTCCGGCGTATCGCAGCATAAGTTTAGAATTAAAAAATACAAGTAATCCTTCGCAACTAGTATCGGCGTTTTTTACATATTATGGACAGTCCATTGTTCACGATATTACGCTAATACCAGGAATAGGTGCTGGTAAGTATCTCTCAACTGAAATATTTTTAAAAGTCTTTAATGTAACTCAAAAGGGGGAGAAAGGTCATCAAAAATTTTTTGGGGGAAAAAGGGAGTAATTGAAATAACTATAATAAATGAAGTCTTATACAGGTATGCCCATTGAATTGTTTCCATCACCTCCCTATTTCTAACTGTTTCACCATTGAAAGTTTCAAGCTCAAGGAATTCAAATTGCATGTTTTGTTTGAAATATTTCATCAGAACCTATGTACAAATTGATTAAAAATGACTTCGAAAATTGATTTTTCGGAAGGAAAAAATATTTCCTCTTCTACTTTTTTCTAAGAGGATTACAGAAAACAAACAATTATAAATAAGAGTGAGTAACGATAGATATTGTGATGTAATCACAAAGTTGTGTGCACCCATAGGTTTTTCATCCACTCAAAAGCCTTCTCGGTTTCCCCAATTGAAGAAGGGACGCTGCCAGGGGCCCCCATCAGGGGGGAAGGTGGGCGCACGATGCGCCCACTTAAAGCTTGGGGGGGGGGGGAAAANTTTTCTACTAGATAAAACGAATAGTTTGGGGAAGAATTGAGAATTTGTCCAAGAATGTGCCCAAGAGCTTGGGGGGGGGGCACTGAACGCTGCGATAGATGACAGTAATTTTTGCGTACTGAAGAAAAATTAGTAAACCGTTTGCAATTTCAAATTATTATATTTAAAATTTTATACCGAGAAAAGTTTTATGAGCTATTTATTCTAAAAAAAGTATTCGCGATCGCAAAGCTCGAATACGCCATCTGAGGAGAACATTATTTGTTTCATGTCTTCCTCCTCCCCTCTCCTCCTTTTCACAGTTGCATAGAAATGTACTATGATATTTTCCCTTTTCTTAGTATTTTTCCTATTACATTGTTAAAAAAAAAATTTTTTTTTAATTTCCGCCACACTTTCATATAGAATTATATCCATTATAGCTTTCAGTTCCAAATAGTTTCCCAATTTATAAGTTTTTAATCCATTTAAAATTAAAGAGCGAAACTGACGTACTTACTTTTCCTATGACTCTCTACACGCTAATGGTGATAGTATATGAAGTGTTGCCATGGGTAGAGAGTTCTGCTGTACGAGCCCATTTCGATCGCCAATTCCCAGTAGTTCGATCTACTTCACTTGCTGTTTTTTTTTGTTGATTCCCCCGCTTGTTCTTAGAAGAATTTATTATTTCCAGACTTCTTTCACCACTTTCGTTAGACAGTTAAATCAAGAACCCTAAATCCTAACTTTCTATAGTTCATTAAAGAAAATATATAAGTAACCCATTGCATTTTACGATAAAGCGGGAGGCGAAGGTAATTGGCTGGATGCGTAGAAAATCGCAGATGTAATTTCACCAAGCCCAAAGATCCGAGTGGACATCTACTGATTCATAAATAAAAGCATTTCCGTTCGAAATCGTGGAAAGTTGTCTTCATTTCCTGAGAAACAGGATATTTCAGTAGCATGATTGTATCTGAGTAAATTTCGTTTCTACAACGGCTGACCCACACCCTCTACAGTAACCAGTAAAACATTCTCAACACGATATTCGGATAAATTATAAAAACAGGCAAAATGAACTTTTAAAAAAAATTAGGATTACAGAATGGTGTAAAGCTAAGTAACAAACGCGCCAGTGGTTAAAATGAGTCGTAAGACTTACGGGTTACTACTTCCGACTGATTTTTACCCCTAAGCTTGGAAAATTGTACCATCCAATATTATTATTATACTTGTAGTGTTTTCAATATAACGCGTTCTTTCAATCTAACTTTCAAAGAAGGGAGCAACAAATGAATTCGGAAGACAATCCGCAAGCTTGCTATGATGCTACCCACAAAAATAACAAACGGTGCTATTTTACATAAATATAGCCAAATAAGGGATAACACTCAAAACGTGGCAAACCTTGCATTTTTTTTTGCTGCGATATTAATTTTGTTTAATTTGTTTTAAGCTTATTTGTTTTATCTGTTTAGTCTCACGACCCTATCAGAATTTATAAATTACGGAATGGTGAGCGCGTAAATTTAAACAATAATAAAACTTCCCAGAATATTAGAAGACTTCACGCATCGCCGAGGGATTTTCTAAATTTCTTCCGGTTCTGGGATGCTTGCTATTGTTTATATTCAGTCAACCATCTATTATTGTGGGGGTTTTTTCCAGAAAAAAATCATTTCCATTCCGTAACAACGCCTTCTATATCTCTCTCTTTCCAATTGAGTGGCGATACTTTAAAAGAATATACATTTATTGGTGATAGTTAAATAAGGATAATTATAAACATATTTAGAACATCCCCCCCGCCGTCTTCTTCTTTTTGACAGCTGAGTTCTATCAGGAAGAAAAGTGCCTTTTTTTAACCTGTTCAGGAGTTAAAAACAACGTCCTTACCTTTGCCCCACAAAGGGGCATCTATCGGGACAAGGGTCAGGGCAGAAGAAACAAGTTACAAGCAAACTGCAATGTTTCGTTTCCACTCGTCCTTCACAAGAAACAAATTCATTTGCCCTAACCCTAACTAGACCTTGGATACCTTGTAAAAAACATTATCTTAAAAAGCTATTACATTAAATTTTATGAATAAGCAATTATGTTCAGGTGTCAAATAAAGTCCTTCTTATTCTCGCAGAAGACCCTATACACTTAAAATGGAAGAAATAGACCCTACACTTCATAGACCCTACACTTATGGACTCCTAGCAATAGACCCTACACTCAAAGAATCAAAAATCACAAATGTCTCTCTCCGCGAAGAATAGGATCCAGAATTTTCTCAATTTCCCAAATTACTGATTCCGCACCCAGCAGATATTGCAGATTTTTCAGTTAGTGTAGGTACTGTGTTTAGGCTTTGACCTCAGGAGCTAAGTTTGCGAAATGCAGGAACCGTGTACCCCACATTCCTTCTCCAAATGCAGTCTCTCAAAAATTTATGAAATTTTGTACTTATTAGAAATCATGAATTTAATCTAATTCAAATTACCTTTTGTCTTTAAGTTACAATTGTTGATTCCTTTACAATCCTATAAATCTGAGGAGCGCAGCGAAGAGAAGCACACGAAAAGGAAGCTTAAGAAATGCTTACAGAAAGAATATCACTTTCTACGACGAGATCGAGTGCAGGGTAAACCACTGGAGGATCAGAGATTACCTTAAGTCAGTTACAGTTAGCAAAAAAGATAATCGCTATCTTAAAGATAAATATAAATTTAAGGATTCAAATTTAAAGACCATTTCAAATGGGGAAATATTGGTACATTAATAACTTGAGTAACCACCTGAATTTTGGGTACTTTGGGATTCTCTGCCGACCATTTTCGCCAAACCTAAAAACTAGCGCCAAAGGATTTGTCGAGCGTTGGCAGGTCGAATGGATAATCCCAAAGAGGAATGAGGCACTTTGGGATTATACCGTCGACCATTTTCGCCAAACCCGATATTATCGCCAAAAAGTAGCTTCTGTGCCAATAACCGTGACATCATGTGACCTTGACTACGCTATAGCTCGTTCACCAGGAGGTGGAACTTGGGTCCGCCTTCATTACGTGGTATGCAACGATACTATTTCGCTATTTTTGGGAGAAGGTTCTGAGCAATTGTGAACAAGGTTACTATTTGGCGCTTGTATGGCAAAAATATTTATTTCGCAAACTTCATATGCATTTTTTTAACATTAAATATTTCATAAATTTGATGATATTTTGCATCATTTTTCATGATATTTCTCTCTTGTGAGAGAATAATTAGTTCTTTTTGAGATATTTTGGAAGGAAAACAGTATGTTTTAAATTTAAAATATATTTAATTAGCTAGAAAAACGAAAGGTACAATAGCAGATGATAAAGCGAAGTAAGTGACTGAAAAAGAATTCACTGTTTGTATTTGGCGCGCATTAAGGATTGTCTCAATTTGAAGTGCGGAGATGTTTCTCCTCTTATTCCCTCTCTGAAATGAACTCTGCGTCAGAGGAGGTGGAGCCAAGTGCCAACTCCCGGTGAATGAACTATAGTTAGTTTTTTTTTCTTAATGGCCGACGGATAATCGCTCATTCCTCTTTGGGATTATCACGTAGACCTGCCAACTCTACCTTTACGATGAAACACTGGTTGGTCTCTCTGCACAGTCCCCCAAATATCCATTGTTCTGGAAGAATACGACAGAATTGGTTTTTTTTTTTAGCTTTGTAAAAAGGCTCATATCTATCTCTACAATATTATCACCAAAGTCAAGCATCACTGGCTACAGTCAGTGTGCGGATGGGTGACCACTTGGATCAGTCTGCGTAGGAACCGAGGGTGTGCGGTATTGGTCCTCGTTAAACTGTTCAAACGTAAAGTGCTCAACTTCGCGTGCAGGTCGTCGAGCTACCGAAGGGGGGGGGGTGCAGCCCATCGTGCACCTCTAGTGCGATGTAAATTAACTACCACCATCTCTACAATATTATTAATTATTTATCATTTGTTTATTATTATGGTTTGATAAATTTATTGTGTTTACAATGTTTATTTCGAAAAAGTTAGCGGCAGAGGATTTGGCGAGCGTTGGCAGGTCGACTAGATAATCCCACAGTATCGAATTTTGAATGGAAGCATGTAAACGGGCATGCGCTATTGGTGCCAAACTTACGCGCCTAGTGCGAAATTTGAATAGACATCCTCTTTTAGTTGTATAAACAGGCTTTAATATATATATCAGACAAAAACTACTCAGACAGGTTGTTCTGTAGCGACTGCGCTGAACAAACTCACGTGAAAGTGCTAACTACGCACGAACGAACTAACGCCATTCCCGGAGAGTTCATCACCATTGCGGAAAACTTTTTAGTAAATCTCATTACAATTAAAAAATGGTCAAAATTGCATCGATTTTGTCCTGCAGTCACTCACTATTTTTCAACATCGCAGAAAATGTTTTATTCTTACTCATTATAAACGAAAATCCTTATTTAACCTCGCAGTTAATATTTTGCAGCAGGAAATTTTTTTTTAGTAAAACTTATTTTTTAAAAAAAAGGAAGAAAAAAAATTTAATTTCTGAATCTTAACCTGCAAGCCAGTATTGCAGAGATTGATATGAGAATTTCTTCGACTGCTTTGCACAAAACAGCGAAATTTTCTTATCAATCTCTGTAAGCACACTTTTCCCGTGATTACGTCATTGAATTAGACTTTTCGTATTTGTAATAACCAATATAGAGTTTTCAAAAATTGAAACATTTTTGAAAAAAGAGGTATTTCTCAATCGGTAGCAACGAGAACGTTGAAACCAGTTTCAAGAGTTAATTAATTTTCCGATTTTCAAGAGATTTTTAATTGCTTGTAGAAGATTTTTAAATTAAGATTTTGTGCTCGTAGAAAGTTTTTCATTTTATCTCAGGCTTGTGCTCTCTAATAATTCGACTTAAATAGACGCGCGTACGAATGTTTAGAAACTACATGAAAGGCGAATTGCATTTACGTGCGGTCGCATATGCGGATCGCTTGCAGTGAGAATGCTCCTTAATGCGATGCCTGCAAGTGACGTAGTGTGGTTACCTCGATCCTGATTGGTTATTGAAACGTGGCATTTGTTTACGTTGCAACTGTTCTTTCTATTCTATTTCGAGTAAGGAAAGCCCGTCAAGTATCAATTCTCTTACGTGAAACATTCAATATTCTTACACAAAAATTATTTTGCAAAGATTTCAATTATCTATATTTCTTGGCACAAGTACACGCACGAAGCCATGTAAAATATAAAAGAACTAAATATGTATCGAAGTTGCCAGGTACACAAAACAAAAGCATGCCGCAGTTACAATAAAATATATAAATCTAAGTTAAATAACAGATGTAGACGAGAAAGAATTAAACTTCAATACATTTGAATGTGTGATACGGCGTTGTATTTAATTAATTTCACCATAATTAACTCATGTGGAGAAACTTTTCTCAACTCTTTTAACACCGCCATTTTGCTTATGAGCTGACGCCGACGTCATAGGTCGGTCTTCTTGAAGTGCAACTACCAAGTTGATTTTAACATGACTTTATTTTTTTTTTCAGATATTAGAACTATTACTGACTGCTGTACTCCAAATGAGAATCCTTCAATTTGCGCCACGATTTCTTACAGCGAAAACGATCCCTTTTATAGTCAGTACAATAAAACCTGTCTTCCGATTCTTAGAACAGCACCCTACCCTACATGTGGTTTCAGTAGGTTACTTATAAATTTTCTTTTCTTTTCTTTTGGTTATTGAAAAATAGTTTGAGAAAAAAAAAGTTATTACCTGTATAAGTTTTGTACAAATATGCTTTCAAATAAATTCTAGCCATTAATTAAAATACTGAATTTGACCCAAAATCACCCTGTCTATGTAACTTTAAATTTTAAATGACAAAATTGAAAATTTGAATGAATTTGGTGGTATTTTTAAAAATTTGATTTTTTAAGAGCTATCTGCCCGATTTCGCTCATATTTTACATTTTGTCTAGTAAAATTACATTCTTTAAAATGATGCAAGAAAATTGATACTTTATAATACAAAATGGGAACCTCATTTTCTAGACTGCGGCTACCCCTATATTTTAAGGGTCAATAATCCAAATCCATCGAAAAAGAGGGTATATTTATTCAGAGAAAGTGCTTTTTTGCATCCGATTTTATGACTTAAATATCGTCTGCAGTAATTAATTAGCCTATTTGAGATCTTCTCCTCAAATCATTAAGAATGTGTACTGGAACGTGAAGATCCGATTACTAGATCAAAAGTTATACAAAATGGTCCTTATTTTTCAAACTGTATAATTAGATGCGATAATACAATTCTAATTTTGATTTTTAAGAAGAAATTAGTAAAAACTATTTAAGAAAATTGAATCCACTTTTGGAAGACATTGTTATATATTAAAATTCAGTTTTCAAGTCAAGAGTAACATTCCACGGGAATTAATAAAATATTTGACTTACATTTTTTTAAAGTGCTGTAATTTTGGGGAAAATGTTGAAGCGAAAATACTTTGCTTCCTCTGTGGCGGCAGTAAGCAAAAAATGCTGAAATATAAATTACTTTTTATTTCAATCGGTGAGGTAAGAAACGTGCCTTTTGGCTAGGCCAGAGTTTCAAGATTAAGGTTAAAAACCTTGACCCTATCTCTAATTTAGCTCAGGTACAACGTTAACTTTCAACTGTGTAGTAAGTGATACAATACATATGGTAGTCACTTTAATATACATTGACACCAGGTTTATGACTAAGCTGCAACTGAAATATCATAATTGAGAAAACACCCACCAATGCCCGTGATAGACTTCAGTGGACAGGGTCTCTTAATAGCTTCAGAACTAACCTTAGTTATCCTAGCATTTGAAATAATTTTAGCTTCGAGAGTGCCACCTGACGATTCGAAAGAACAGCAATGCAAGGTTGGAAATATTTTCCAGGAGCGGTCAATGGCGTTCTTCAGAGAATTATAATTTCGCTCTCGGACAAGGATTATTCCAAGATATTCGAAATTTATTGTGAGGTCTGCATTGCCGTAGAAGGAACACTTTCTCTGACCCATGTTTCTTTTGTTTCTGCACATTAAAACGAATACTCACTTAACGAATACAGTCTTCGTTCCTTATGATAGATCTCCTCTTCCCAACCCTGCATCGCTAGATGGTTTCGAGTCCTCAAGGTGTACTTTACCGAAACATTTAACTGAGACACACTATATTTTTACGAAGAGATCACCCATAATTGAAGCACCTGTCCTTCATTCCTTAGTTTTTACCTTTCCCCTGTCTCTGTTCCATTAACAGATTTTAATTTCTTTATTACAGATAAACGAATTCAGATGAATAAAATAACGTCCTTTCTTGACCTCTCTATCATGTACGGCAGCACTAAAGAGAAGGAGAAGGCTGTTCGAGGAAAAAATAACTTAGGTTTGTATCTTTTAGTTCAATTGTCGTGTAAATAAAGGTTCAGTACGGAAATAACAGGGGGAAAGTTAGAAATTGTTTCGAAAATTGTGGTTTGAACCCAGTTGGAAAACCTAAAGTTTGCTCCTTCGTAATCGTTCCGCATATATTTTGTTTACCAGACGGTGTTCGAACAGGCTTGAGATTTCAAGAAGTTCTATTATTGGGAAAGCTGAAAATAAGGGTTTTTTTCACAAATTTTATTTTGTATTATTAAACAAGATTTATCAACAAAGATAATAAATGCCCTTTTAACAACGGTCCGGACAACAAAGTTTGACGGTATGAGGAAATAAAACATGCCTAAGAAAAAATACCTGTATGAGGCATGATCCCCAACAATGCTGGTGCCATTTTTAATAAATCTTGCACAGTAGTGCAAAATTAAATTTGTATAAAATTCCTCATCATTTCAAGCTTTTTTTTAAAGAGTAAAAGCACTACTTAGAAAATTGCTTGAAAGTTTTTAAGTATTCAAATCAGATTTTCTTTATTAGCTGCCAAATACTATTTACTACAAAATTAGGAAGGAAAAAAAAAAAAGATTTTAAATTTTTTCCGCGCATGCGCAGTATGAACTACTTAAACGACTCACATCTTGTGCATTTTGTAACGAATTTTTCTCAAATTTTAAAGGAGTAATGTTGTAATCAATTTTACAATGTTCCGAAAGCTTTGTTTAATTTTGTTGAATATTCTCAAAGTTAAAGCAGAAAAACGTGTGACAGGAAAATTCGCTTTTTTATAAAAATGTCCATATCTTAGCTAGGTTAGAATACTGCTCAAGCGCAGAAAAAAATTATTTATTTTTTTTTCATTATTTTGTAGGGAATCGTATTTGGCAACTAATAATAAAAACTTTATTTGAATATCTTAAATATTTAAAAAGTTTCAAACAATTTTCTTAGTAGTTTTTAAAAGAAAGCTCAAAACGATAAGCGGTTATGTACAAATTTCATCTTGTACTATTAAACAGGATTTATTAAAAAATGAGACCGGCATGTATGTTTTCTTTTGCATGTTTTCTTTCTCTATACCATCAAAGTTTAGTTTCCGGACGATTATTGTATATAACTGTATCACTATTATCACTTGTTATTAAGTTTTGTCTTATGATACAAAATAACATTTCTGAGAAACCTCTGATCGTTTTAAGCTTTCTTTTGAAAATAACAAAAACTGCCTGAAGCTTTTTAAATTGTTAAGATATTCAGAAAAAAAGAATTTTCATTGATTGCCAAATACGATTCATTACAAAATTATGAAAAAACTTATTTTTACAGTACGTGTGCAGTATAAAAGAACTAGGTTAAGTACTCATAACTTGTGCAGTTTACAATAATTTCTTTGAGTATTTTAAATCGAAATTTATGTTATTAATTTTTGATTGCTCCAAAAAATTTTTTTTATTCCATTGAGTATCTATACAGTTATAAGGAAAAAACGTAAAGTGTAAAAAATAATTTTTTTTGTAAAAATGTTTGTATCTCCACAAATATTTACTCTAGGTTTACGAAACTAGGTTTATTAAAAATAACAACTAAATCGATACAAGTTACGAGGTTTCTGACATAGGGTGTTTAAAAATGCTTGTTTTCTTCCGTAATTTATTGTACGCCTCCCAAACCTCTGAAAGCTTTAAAATTTATTGCTAAGTATGAAAAATCGCATGAACTAAACATCTCTAAAGGTACAAAATAATCTTTTAAGTATTTCTTGAGAAATTTAAGAAAATGTCAAAAACTGAAAATATCTCTTCCATTATTGTTGGGGGGGGGAGGGATAGCCTGGTTGGTAAAGCACTGGGTCCATGTCCAAGTGCTCGTGGGTTCGATCTCTGCCGGCCGAAGTCTAGTAAATGGTGACTGATGCACGTTAAATCTGTCGAGTCTCAAAGTCCTGTTTTATGGAAAATTCAAGTGAATGAAACAAGACTATAAAGCAACAAGATAAATCTATGATACAGGAATGGAGAGAATTCTGACGGTATTGAAATTAAATGAATAGCCAAAGTTCCAACAATGCGCTGCAATTGATGTTTATAGGTTTCTTGATACCGGAGGTACTGACTGTACTCCGTTAATCTAAATTTTAAAGCGCTTGATCTAAGCAACCGAAATTGCATTGAATGATTTTCAGTAGTAATGAGAAGGGGCTCTTTTGTTAACAGGCGTGAAAACGACTTTAAAACCAAAACGGAAAAAATGCAATTGTAATCGTAGAGAGTAAAGTTGCAATCTCATTGTAAGGATTAGAAGAAGAGTTGCATTTGGGTGAAGCAAGTTTAGACGAATCAAGTGAAGTCTCAAATCTACGATTAACAGCCGTTAAAAGTTAAGAGAATACCATTTGCGGTATAGGATTTAATATAGTTCACTTAATATAGTTCGGCAGCATATAGTTCCGTTTTATTTCGTTATCAAATTATGCAAATATGTTTTTAAAACAATATAAAAGATTTTAAAAGTTTAACACGTCACACAGAAATATAACTCGTGCTATCATTTACGATATATTTAACAGAATTATTAAAATTAGGTTATAATTTCGAAGTCTTATTGAAATCCTAAACTTGGTGACATATTTTTATAAATAAGGAGAACATTCTTTTTGAAAAAGGAACAACTATATGACATTGAGATAACATTGGATTTGATTGGACCACTGAAAATGAATGCAAACAGAAATGCATTTTTAGATATCATTTTTATTAATTCTTATCCCTTGTTGATTGATTATTCTGTAAATTTTGATTATTCAATAAGTTTAGATTTAAGAAAGCAAGCAAAAAGAAGGCTGTACAACATCGTTTCCAAAGTTGGCGATGTTGGCATCCATTTGGTGTACATTTAAATGCCGAGAGTTTCTCTCCATAGGAATAATGGCTTTTTCTTAACTTGCAAAATAAGGCTAAAAACAAACTAACGTCTGTTAAATTAGCCATACCTACATATAAACTACCACTTTTTATTTTTCCCCTTATTATCGCCATCCAGCAACGTCACTGTGATACATTGATAAATAACTAAGTATTGTTTATGTAGTAAAAAAAATATTTTTATTGTTCTTATATCTCTCAGGAAGACTAAAGACTCAAGGCTCCAAATTTGGAAGCATTTTGCCAAAATCTGAAATTGAAGACGCTTTGTTTTGCCCAAGGAATAGAACAGAATCGTGTTTTTCATCAGGTACTAATTTTTAGTTTTTATCATTAGGAATCCACAGTTGTTCTCACAAAAGCGTTTACGATATTGTTACAAAATATTAAAAAGTACTGAAACATTTTTTCTTAATTTACTAAAATGAAAATATCTAATAAAACGTTACATTTACGTTTCTAAAATATATGCTTTCAGCATTCACTATACTAACAATGCATTAATGATCTACAGACTTTACAAATGATTATTTTGTTTCTAGAATTTTATTCTCCTAAAGACTGAAGTAATCAGGCTAGAAGTATCAGAATGTATTTATATATAATACTGCTTACACAAAGATTTGTTTTGTTTTTTAATACTGTTTTTTTTCTTCCATATATTAATGTTGCTTTAGATAATATTTTTGAAAACAATACTTATAATTTTATTTTTTCCGCGGAGTACTCCTACTATGCTTTAATGCTTTTCTTGAAAATACTTCAGAGGGCAGATAATTTTTGAATAATATTTAATATCTATAAAGATTTTCAGATTTTTTTCGGATTCCTTAATCAGCAAAACTAAATATTATAAAAAAAAATCCAGAAAACATTTTGTTTACAGTAAACTCCAGTCTATCTCGCTTATGAAACCCCTCGTTACAACAGAGTATTTGTAAAAATATAATATTTATCATAACGCACACATACACACACACAGATACACACACACACAAATGCATACAT